TCGTGCAGAAAGAGCGCGTGCACGTCGGCCGACGGGAGCAAGTTGCCGGCGAATCGACTGCCTTTGCGGTACACGCTGACGTAGCGACTACGGAAGAGACGCACGCAATTGGGCATGGCGTGGAAATCCAGCATGCTCCCGTGCGTCTCCATCTCTTCGGCCATGTTAGCGAGCGCGCTGGAGGCATTCCGCGCGACCTCAATGTCGCCCGAGGCAAAGGTGGGGCAGCGGCGACGTCGCCGTCGGCAGCTTGTGCGCGTCGCTTAACGTCCAGCTGCACGAAAGCGCCGCGAGTTCGCGATCCAGTTCAATGTACGCGACGTGAAAAGCCGCACTGGCGGCGACGGCAAGCGCGAGAAGCAAGCACGGCGTCCGCGCAATCGACATGGCCTCGGCGCGAAAGATGTCGCAGCACCGACACGGCATGGTACTGGGCGTGTATGCTCTCGCCTTGCGTCATCAACGCGAGCGTGGCGTCGACCGCTGGGTCGGTCCGCGCGATGGGTCGCTGGTGCGTCGCGTTCATGGCGAGCTTTCCAAGAGCAAATGTCGCATAGAACCGCGTCTCGAGCGCGCGCCGGGAACTCAGCGCCTGCACGAGCGGCGACAAGATGCCGAGACACTTGTCGTGGTACGTGCTGTTGCCGAGGATGCTTCCGAGCGCCAAGACCGCGTAGCGCTGCGGCTCGGGCATGGCGGCATCGACCACGAGGCGTCCGAGGGGTGTCACAACGTACATAATGTATGTCGTGCGTGACGATGTTGTGCGTGAGAGGGTTGGCAATAAATGTTGCCGTGGCCGATGGCGCCAGAGGTGCGCATCGCCTCGTCGTGTTCGGGGCTAAGCGCGTGCAGGAGGAGGTCGTGGCAGAGGACCTCAAGGAGGCGCGAGTTGCACGCCAAGTTGCACACACATTTGAGCGCCTCGCAAAGCACTAACGGATCGTCTACGCTTCTGAGATTGACGAGGATGGCACTGCCGCGGTCGCGCAGAATTCGATCGTGCGTCGAAACGTCTTGGGCCAGCGTCGCGCAGGCATAGGTTGCAATCAAGTGGAATACAGTGTACGTCTACACGTCATGATTCGACTGTCCAAAGACAGTCGCGACCCACCGTGGCGTTCATGTCCGTGTCGGGCGAGCCTGGATGAGAGCGCCGAATTCGCAATCGACACGTTGTTGGACTCGTCCAGCGACAAGTTGTAGGGGCGGCGGCCACCGCGCGGCGCACAAAGGGGTCGCTTGACGGCGCGCCCTGCACGAGGGGCTCGAGGCCACCGTCGAGCACGATTGCGTGCGTCTCTTCGTCGACGTCGCTACATGATCCCAATGATCGTGCGCAGAATGTCCATCTTGCCGAGTTGCGCCCAGTTGGCTTCGTTGCCCGCGACGTCGTTGATGACAAAGGCAAGGCACCACCTCGTTTCCGCGTCGCTCGACGTCTCGAGATGCAACAAGGCGGCAATCGCGCCCTGGTCGAAGAGGTCCTTGTCGTTGAGGTTACCGATCGCAAGCGTCCCAAAGCGCTGAGAAAGGGCGTCGGGCGACTTGACAAAGCCCAGAATGTGCTGCAGCGCGTTGCTGCACAAAAGCGTTGGCTGTGACGACGGTTTCGACGCAAATAGCGCCAGGCAGCGCGCGACGTGCTGCTGGATTTCGATATCCGCATAGAGCGGTTGAAGCACACGCTCCTCGAGCATCTTCGTAAGGCTCTCGACCATCTCAAAGATATAAACGAGCGCACAAATCGCGTGGCGCTCGCGTGGCGGATCTCCACTCTGCGCGAGGCTTAAGAGCGGCGAGAGACACCCCTGCGGGCCATCGTGACCTTGTTCGCAGAACGAGAAGTTGCCGAGCGTCGCGTTCACCGATCGCGCCGCTGTTGACGATGCGCACTTGGTTTTCGACGCTTTGTTTCGCCGAGATTGGCCAACGCGCAGCGGCGGTGCGTCGCGCAGTTCGTGCTGCTCAATGAGAGGGGGTAGGCCCAAATTGGGGTAGGCCGCCACATTTGCAAATCTCGGCCTTGTTGACATGTAAAGACACACTAAAATGGTCATTTTGACGTGACAGAGCGTACTAGCAAACGAGAAAGTGCAAAGCGCGGGAGTACGTCGCGGTGGATATCCGAGTCTTCGGTGCGCGTGGGTACCGGTATTTGTGCCCAAGACGGGGAACCAGAACCGATCAGCGCCTCGGACGCCAAAGATGGAGAAAGCACGAGCTCGGCATGAACGGCGGCACTGA